TTAGAGGAGGGAAAACGACTCGCCCAAGATCACCTGTCTAGTAGGAGGCTGACCTGAGACTTGGACCCAGGTCAGGTCACTTGAATTCAGCAAGGTTTCCTCAGAGTTGGTTATCAGCACACTAGCTCCTTCCCCATATCCCTGAATCTGCTCCTCCAAATGTGCGCTCTCCCCACCTTCTCACAGGGAGAAAGAATTACAAACAACCCAATGCTTGAACAAGCTGGAGATGGTCCCCGGCCCCCATCATCCCGATTAAAGTCAGAGAGACCACACAGCCTGGATTCTCCCTAGGCAGGGAGAAGTTCTTTTCTTCAGAGCCTAGGGTCCCACTGGCTTTGAAAACCCTCTACTCTGCCTGAGAGAAGAATTCTGAGGTCCATTCTAAATGTGGATGGGGTAGAGACAGGAAAGAAACACAAATTCTTCATTCCGTCCCAACAGATTGTCTCACAGACAGGGAAGAGGGTTCTGAGCACCAAGAGTCTATTCCCCACCTGAGGGAAACAGAGAAAAGAACTCACATTTAATATCTCAACCCATGAGCCAGTGGCATGCTTAAAGGAGAGCCAGAAGGATTCCCACTATGATGATTCTCCCTAAATTAGTTTATAAATTTAATACGATTCCAGTAAAAATACCAACAGAATTCTTTTTTTACTGGGGGTGAGTGGGTGGGGTGGTATTAACTAACTGAAAATTCCAAGGAAAAAACCATGAGCAGGGGTGGGAGTGAGAGGGAGGGCTACCAAAACCTAACAATCGTCAAGACCTTGGAAACAACCTTAATGGCCATCAGTAAGGGGCTAAATAAATTATGTTATACCCACACAACAGAAAACTACGCAACTGTTTTTAGAAAAAATTAAGGAAGCTCTTTACATATTCATATAGAATGATCTCTAAGATACAGTAGAGGGAAAAAACGAGGTGCAAAACTGGATATACAGCATGCTACTATTTGTATGAAGTTATAGAGAATACAAAAATATTTGCTTCTTGCATTAGTCACCTATCATTGTGTAACAAATTACCCCAAAACTTAATGACTTAAGACAAACATTTATTATCTGTTTCCATGGGTCAGGAATCCGGGCCTGGCTAAGCTAGGTTGCCTTTGGCTTAGGTCCTCATGAGGTTGTAGTCAAGCTGTTAGCTGGGACTGTGGTCTCATCTGAAGGCTCAGCTCGGGAAGAGGGTCTGCTCCCAAGTTCACTCAGGGTTGCTGGCAGGCATCAGGCTCTCACGTGAGCTCTCCACAGGGCTGCCTCACAGATGACTTCCCCAGGAGAGCAAGGGACAGCACCCACCATGGAAGCCAGTCTTTCCTCATAACCTAGTTCCAGAAATGATCACCACTACCACTGTCTTCTATTCATCAGAAGCGAATCTGTAAGGTCAGCCCACACTGAAGGGGAGGGGAGTATACAAGGGCATGGATCATTGGGATCTATGGGGCTATCTTGGAGGGTAACCACCCCTGCACTCATAGAGGCAAAGAATATTTTTGGAAGGACACACTGGAAACATTTAACATTGGCTGCCTCCAGGGAGGGGGACTGAGTAACGGAGAACTTTTCACTGAATATGCACTTGCACTTGCACCCTATGAATTCTGTACAATGTGAAAGTATCACTTACTCAAAAAATAAAGCAAATTAATTGTAAATTTAAAAAGGACAATTAGAGGGACTCCCCTGGTAGTCCAGTGGTAAAGAATCCACCTTCCACTGCAGGGGACGCAGGTTCGATCCCTGGTCAGGGAACCTACATGCCGCGGGGCACCTAAGCCTGCATGCTGCAACTACTCAGCTCATGCACCTCAACGAGAGCCCGTGAGCCACAAACTACAGAGCGCACGTGCTCTGGAACCCACGCACAACTAGAGAGAGAAGCCCATGCGCTGCAATGAAGAGCCCAAGCCACAACGAAAAGATCCTGTACACCTCAATGAAGACTCCGAGTACTGCAACTAAGACCCAACGCAACCAAAAAAATAAGGAAAATAAATAAAATGGAAAATTAGGATAGCAATTTAACAGCAGAAGAAAAAAGCTAAGAAGGAAAAATTATACTTAAATAATACATAGTTATTACTTAGCACCTTAAACATACTTGTGTCTATTCAGTCATGATTACTTGCTTCAATGAGGGAGGTTTAAAAAGCTCATTTTTATACACACACACACACACACACACACACACACACACACAAACAAGCAACTCCCATTTGCAAAATACATACTCTTGATCATGGCATTCACAAATTCATTCCAGTTCACCTTTATAGACCCATTTCCTGCCACTCTTCCGTCCCCCTGTGAACTCCAGTGACTTGCTATAGTCAACTGTTAACACTTCCAGTTCTAGGGGGTACAAGCCACAAGCACGATACCCGCACACTTCCAGGAGGTATCAGCTTCCATTCTTTCTCAAATACTGCCTTTGCTTAGACTGTCCCTGTACGGCGAGCACCTGCACTCCTTTCTGAGCCTCAAGGCCTGACTCAGATGTCACAGTCACCATGAAGCAGTCCCACAAGCAGTCGGCTGTCCCCTCTATTCTCTCATGGAATTCTGTTTTGATCTCAAATACAGCATTATCATATTACAGTTTAAATCTCTTCACTTAAAGTCTGGTCCTTGGACCATCAGCATCACCTGGGACCTTGTTAGAAATGCAGAGTCCAGGGCCCAACCCCAGGATCTACAGAATGGTAATCTAAATTTTAACAAGATACCAGTGATTTACATACATTTTCAAACTTGAGAAACACTGGTTTAAATCTTTCCCTGGTTGAACTATAAATCTTTTTAGGGCTCTCCTTCACCTCTGTACCCACAGCACATCATAAGACCTGATACCCAAATGTCTTAAGTTATTTACAATTATTATATATGTGATAGAATAGATTTTTTTTAATTTCTGGAAGAAAAAAAAATTCCTGGAAGAATATACACCACATTATTAAAAATGATTACGTATCTGGTAGGTGGACATTGTGCATTTTTCACTTTCTGTAATACTTCAATCTTTCACAGCCAGAATGTATTATCCTTACAGGTAGAAAAACATGATGACTTAAAAAAATACATGTAAAATATAACATTATAATACATTCATAAAATGGTATATAATTGTGTTGAGCTATATTCACGGATATGAAAAACTGGCCAAACTATATTAAGATTTTTTTAAAAGATAATTTAAACAACAATATTTATCAATGACACCCTAAATGTTTTGTTAAAAAAAACTTGTGACTATGGACACTAAAAAGATACTTAACAAAATATCTCTGGTGGAGCTTGTTTTATACTTTTCTGCATTTTAAATGTTTTCTACAATTTTTCTGCTTTTTTTTTTTTTTTTTTTTTTTTTTTCCGGTACGCGGGCCTCTCACTGCTGTGGCCTCTCCCGTTTCGGAGCACAGGCTCCGG